ATTCTCTGGATAGTGCTCTGGTTCTTGCATTCATACAGCCCAGGCCCAGTGGGTTCCACTCATGCCATGAGTGACAAGAAGAGAATATGAACCCAATCTATCCCAGTCCCCAGGCACTGTGTAGGACTTTCCAAATATCCACCTGGAATCTCCTCAGCAGAAGTAACACATGCCCCTACCCCAGCAACACCGCATCACTCTCAGGGTATTCCATGCCCCCCAGGAAAGTCCTGGAATCCACCTAAAGCTGCAGCTGCAGCTTCTCCAGGTCAGGGTGTGTGGAGGAGAAAGTGTTTACCCAGCTAGCAAGTGTGTGTGTGTGTGTGTGTGTGTGTTGTGTTAGTCCGTTCACAGAACAGTGGAGCCTTTCACAGTTCTAGGAAACTATTAGGGGCAGTTTCTCTACCCTCACCCCCTCCCTACCTTCCCCCACCTCTGCCCTGACCCCACTTCAGCTTTAATGATAGACAGGGGAAGACAGAAAGAAGACTGACAATGAGCCCCTTTGTCAAAGGAGAGAATGGCCACAATAATGTCCCTTGCAACTCTCCTGATCTCCTGGTGTTAATGAGTCTCATTAGGATGTGCAGGTGGGTGACCCCAGTTCCCGAGACGCTAGTGTCCAAAGGCCTGGGGGAGAAAACCGGGCATCCACTAAGAGGAATCTGCAGTGGTTAGCGTCCTGTCCTCTTGCCTCTTTGTGGGAGGCAGAATCCAGGGAAGGCAGGCGCACACACCTACAGGTGCGGCTTGGCTCTGGTTTAGCTCTGCTCTGATAAGGCCATTCCCAAAGCACAATTCAGTCTCTGAAAACGGGTCTGTTGTGGGAGTTAAAGTAGAAGCGATCCGGCTGCAAGGACCCCATATTGACAGACGAGCAACTCTTCACTCGCTAGGTCAAAGCTGCAGCAGAGAGAGGAAAGGGAATACCGAGGCCTCCCAAACGGTCCTCCGTCTGCTCCTAGTTCTGCCGCCACCTTATAAAGAAGCATGTTTGAGGCGGGCAGGGGCCTCCAGTGGTAAAGGGCTTCAGCATAAGCATGGGTGCCTGAGTTTGGATTCCTACCGCCCACATGAAAGCCTCGTGTGGCAGCATGTACTTGAAACGCCAGCACTGAGGAGAGAGAGGGAGATCCCCGCAGCTCACTGGTGACCCAACATATAGGGCCTTGTGATGTTCCCCAGATAAGCTCCTGTATCGTTCCTGGGCTGGCAAGGGTCTAGGTCTGGAAGGATCCAGAATGAAAATCAAATAGTCTCGGGATGCAGAAGAAACCTCGGGGGGAAATGGAAGCCATCCTGGACTCAGGGAGTGAAGGAGGAGCGGCAACTTCCTCAAGTTTCCCTACTCGAATCCCAGACACCAACATCCGACCTCAGCTCTGCCTGGTGCTATCATCCCAGGTGGAGTGTTGCTTTGCCCCAACCACTGTGCCACCTTCGAGTTCACTTGGGGATCTGGCACCAGAAAGTGGCCAAGTCCACAGCTTACACCCCTCCCTGGTCATATTAGAAGCTGCCAACTGTGATACCTAAGCAGGCTTCAAGCCATCTCCTCCAGGCTCTGCTATACCCTGAACACCTGCTAGAATAGATGTTCATCAGTACGCTGGCAAATTACTCTAACACCTGGTAGGAACTGGGGTGTGAGTGAATGCAGTGGGGGAGGGGAAGGGTAGGCGGTGGTCTCAGTCTACCCCATGTTACCTGGAGATGTATGGGGCAGAGAACAGGGAAGGAGAAGTCATGTTGACCTGAGAACATGATGCTCAGGACTCAGGCTCCAGAGGGAAGATCAGGAGCGAGGATTTGGGGACCTGGGAATAAAGCAGGTGCAGCAGAGTGGTCCTAGGTGCTCCAATGTCACTCATGTCTCTGGCCATTTATGGTTAGCAAGACATTGCAGTTCCTATCACGCTTGCCCAATAAGCCAACCTGAAGAGATCAATCATGTCCGAGACACACAGGTCTATCCCCAAATCACCTATCTGCGGACCTGGTGCCCACTCCATTCTGCTTTTCCCTATGTCTGTTAAAATCCTGCTGCCCGTTTCCCAAGGAGCATCTGGAAGCAGCTCCTTCTGCCAGTTCTGTCCCTATGGTCTAAAGCCTTTGCCTGTGTGCCACACAGGCCATTCTGTCTTTGAAGGAAAAGACAGCCTACCTCAGCTCAGTCACCCCATAGGGCCTTCCCACCTTGATCCTGACCTACAGCATAGGATGGAGATATCTATAGATGTCACCTGGGTTGGACTGGATTGGACTGGACTGGACTGGACTCCTGGGGTCTAGAACGAAGCTCACTGATGAACGCACAGAAATGGTAAGATAAACAGTTTCAGAAAGGGAGATGGAGCCACAGAGGAGAGGTGAGCAAGGCCCAAGGACATGAGAGAAGCAGTATGGAGTTAGAGGAACCACAGGTGACCTCCTCTACCTGGTCATAAAACGGAAACCATAGAAACCAAGAGGCCATCATTCCCAGAGGGGTCTGTGAAGAACACTGGAGTCGTGTAGACCAAACACTCATTATGTTCTGGGAGGTCTTTAAGTGTTTGTAGAATCGCCGACAAGACAGGATGTGACAGCGGCAGTGGGACTGAACCTTCTCTTCTCCAAGGAGCCAAGTCCTTGACACCAGAGCCAAAAGGCTTTGTTGACTCCACACTGAGAATCAGATCATCACTTGGTGCCAAATGATAGCCCAAGAACTGGCCTGTCATCGGGGCAGTTTGCAAAGCTGGGGCTGGGGTGGAGTTGGGAAAGGCTCCCATCCTCGCCTGGAAAGGAGAAGGGTCCTGTGTGAGTTTCTCCAACTCACTGTGCCAGTAAAAGCTTGGCCTGGCCGCTCTCAGGGCCACTTCCAGTAGAGAAGGTACAGTTCTCCAAATCTCAGTGTAAGCACTCAGGGCTCAAGGCTGCCCAGAACACCAACCCAGCATCCTTAGGGACTCACTTTCTTCCATTGGCCTCCTGTTTGCACAAGTTGGGTCTGCCATACACAGAACCATCAGTAACCAGGTTGTTCTGTGCTGGTGGCCACAGGGAAACACCACTGATGGACAGATTCCCGCACATACTGCTTCCCACTGTGTCCAATCTAAGAGACACACCAGGCTTGGGTTCCCGACAGGTCCATCTCTTGGCTTCCAGAGGGTTCTCTGCTCTGCATAGTCATTCCTCAGTGCACGGATGAAGAGAAGGCTCCATGTCTCTTTCTCTCTTGAGGGTAAACATCACCAGCCAAGGGAGCCACCTTGATAACTTTAATTGTTCTTACCCCCATCACCAAAGACAGTTGCACTGTGGGATAGCACTTCAGCACAAGAACTATGGGTCAAGGAGCATAAGCCAGTCTATAGCGCTGACCCTGCCATCAGCAACCCCCTTCTCCTCTCCTGCAGGCACCTCTAAGTCATCATGACCCTGGCTTTCTCGCCTTCTACAATTTCTGCAGAAAAAAAATCAGGACCCGCATTAAGCAGGAAGCATAGTTTAAAAGAAGAAGAAGAAGAAGAAGAAGAAGAAGAAGAAGAAGAAGAAGAAGAAGAAGAAGAAGAAGAAGAAGAAGAAGAAGAAGAAGAAGAAGAAGAAGAAGAAGAAGAAGGGTTTGGGTCGCCTACACAGGGCTGAGATGAAATAAGGCCTAAGATAGGTATCAAACAAACTTCAAACTTTCCCAAGAAAATTCCTGAGAGAGTGAAGAGCTGGGCAGAGGAAATTATTAATGACCAAGGAGGTAAGTATATCACAGGGTCACTGCTTACACTTACCGGAATATTCTTTTCATGCTTTGGGTAAGCATTGCAAAGCAGAAACCTGGGAGGATCCCACCCAGGATAAGTGGACCCAATGCTGAGTGTCTGGCTCATTGCCAAATTTGACTAGTCCCAGTGTTCAACGAAATTAAATCACACTAAATCAACAAACACAAAGGCCACCTCTGCAGCTGGAGGAGAGAACTCAGGATGGTGTTTAAAACAAAACAAAACAAACAACCCCCCCTCCAAAAAAAAAAAACCTAGAGAGTTCCTTGGAGAGAGAAGAAACTCAAAATACATGGAAGATTGTTTAAAACCCAGGATTACAGGCATTGTGTCTAAGGTTGGTTGTCAAATTGGAGCACACAGTTAAGAGTCTCTGATAGGAAGGGGAGCCCACAGGGGGGTCTACAGGGGAGGGTCCACAACATAGCAGCTGAACCAATAGCTAATGGAAACTTTAGAGAGAAGAAAACAAGATTCTCAAAAAAAAAAAAAAAGGTGTTTTAGATACTTCGTAGAAGCAGACATTAATAGGACTGTAACCGTGAGTCCATTCTGAGCCTCTTGTTCAGTTCCTTCCCAGGCTACGGAGGCCCCAGGCTGAGGAGCAGGGAAATGATTGTCTTCAGATCTCGGTGGCCACCCAGATTCTTGGTAGGAAGGATTGGGTCACAGGAAAAAGAGAGTTGGGGAGGATATAAAGAAACGGACTCATACCCAGAGAACAATGCACACTACTATAGAAACATTAGAATTCCCGTGTTTATTGCTGCTTTATTCATTATAGCAAATAATTGGAATCAACCCCACTGCCATCAAGAGATGACTGGATAATGACCATTTGAGAGGTGTGTGTATTTGTGTCTAGTATGTGAGTGTGGTATGTGTATGTGTGTGTATGTGTATATAGTATGTGAGTGTGGTGTGTATATGTGTATGTGGTGTGATGTGTAGTGTGGGTGCGTGTGAGTGTGTGTAGTGTGTGTGAGTGTGTTGTGGTGTATGAGTGTGTGTGTGTGTAGTATGTGAGCGTGTATGTATGTGGGGGGTGTGAGGGTGTGTTGTAGTGTATGAGTGTGTGTGTGTGTGTGTGTGTGGTGTGTGAGTGTGTATGTATGTGGGGAGGTGTGAGGGTGTGTTGTAGTGTATGAGTGTGTGTGTAGTGTGTGAGTATATATGTGTGTGGGAGTGTATGTGTGTGGGGGTGTGAGAGTGTGTGTGTGTGTGTGTGTGTGTGTGTGTGTGTGGTCTGTGTGTGTGAACTGCAAAGCTCAAAAGAATATTAAAGTTGAAAACTTTGCAGGAAACTGGAGAGACTTTGAATATATGATATAAAGCAAGGTCAGCCTCAGAAAGAAATAAACCTCATGTTTTCTCTCACATGTGAAATCTAATCAATAATACATATGTAAACAAATACCCACGTGGACACAGTAGACCATGAAGGCAAAGAATAATAAATTAGTAACTATAAGGGAATGAGGAAGGACAGAATGCAGGTAATGGACATGAGTTATAAAAGGAAATACTTTTTCTTGTCTTTGCTCTGCCATGAAGCTTTTGGGTTGTGTGACAGAGAAATGTGTATTCGATAAGGAAAGTATAAAATTTAATATGAAGTCTCACAGCTTCCATTCTGAATGCCAGTTCTAATTGTATATGAGTTCATTAAGTTGTATAGTCTTTGGGTCTGGCTAATTTTTGTATCTGAGGTTTTTTATTTATTTCCAAGGTTTTTTAAATAACAAAATAAGAGAAAGAAATTGACTCAGATGTTCATGAAGAGCAGGATGTGCCTGCAGTACAGGCCCACAAGCTGTAGAGCCAAGAAAAAGTAGAGATTTTGTAGGAGGGACAAAGAACCCCTTTTTCCTTTGGGGCACTCAGTATCTTTCAGATCATCAACTGATTGGATGAGGCCCAGCCACTGAATTTCTCACGGAGAACTGATTGAATTGTCTATCTCCTCTACAGAACTCATTCACATTAGCCTGGTGTTTGACACAGTATTTAGTGAGATGGACCGGCTTCGTGGATATACAACAAACCTCACAAAGGGCCTGGGCCTGCCCTCTTAACCTTCATTGCCTTCACGAAGAAGAGAACTCTGCATTAGGAAGAAGTATTTAGCAAAGAGTCAGCATATGAAAAGATGGGTGGCTCTGTGGCTCACTTCAGTCACTGGGAGAGAAGCTGTTGTACACTAGAAATAGCATTCCAGTAAAAATCCTGACTGGTTTAACTGGTCCTGACACAAAACAAGCGGACGTTGGCAAATAAAAACGCTCGTTCGCAAATAAAAATACTCATTTATTTTTTTGAGTCTTCCTCTTTGGACTCCAGAGGTCAGCAGCATCCACAGTCCAGGCCAACTGCCCCTCCCTGCCCATACTCACACCTGGAAAAAGAAGCCCACATGTAGAAGGCAAAATGAGAAAGGGCGGGAGACCCGACCTCCTGCCCGGAAACTGGCCCCTGTTGCTCCTGTCTCCAGAAACAGCCAAGGCCTAGAGGAGGCCACCACAGGTGTCCCCCTAGAACCAGGGAAAACAACACAGCAACCCTATTTGGTTCCCAAAGTTCTACAAGCTCACTTACAAATGTCACTTACAAAATCAGATAGTGTTTCTGCTGGTCCTCAAATCCAAAGTGTCCCTAAGAAAGGACTCTCATTATAGGCGTTCGCTGGAGATAGACACTCAATGGAACCATCTGAATGTAATTCAGATTAAAGAAATAAAAACAATATGAATTCCAAATAGAATCACTCAAACAACAGAAGGTAAAACAGAGGCCCAGGGAGGCCAAGGGTGGGTTCAAGGTCACAGAGCTGACTGGCAAAGGGAAGGTTCAAGGTCACAGAGCTAAGAGGTCCTGGAACCTAACCCTCCTCCTAGTCCCCGTGCAGACATTCAGAGCTTCCACTGTGATCTGCCAGCGTGGAGGAAAGCTACAGGCTGGCACACTAATAAAAGTGAGGAACTCATCTGTAACTCAAGGATGTAAAAAGGCTTCCCGGTCTAACAGTCGAACCACAGTGTAGACCAGAGATAAATTCCAGGATTCTCCCCTTGCCAAAACTAGTATTTATGGCATCTGAGTGAGTGGTAAATTACCAGTTGCCAGCAAAATACGTGCCATCTCTGCATTTGCAAACTCTCCATCACCTCCAGTGCTCTCGCCGTAATCCAGTCTATGGCAAATTAGTTTATGATACTGGAGGTAATTTAACCAACGGGCTAATATATATTATACTAATATGTGTGCATGGTTGCTAATTACACTGAATTGGGTCTGATTCATATTAATGGCCCAAGAAGCCACTTCAAAATAAATGCCAGCCTTATCTTCTAATCAAAGTTGATCTTAGAAATGTATGAACATGGGGTGCCATCTACCTGAGCAGACATTCACTTACCCATCCAAGGATGCAGGGACAGCCAACTTCAAAGGGAGCAGGAGACGGTCCGATCTGCTGAGGACAAAGAAAACATGCTCCTCAGAGTTCACACTCACAGAGACAGAAATTAACCCTAACTAAAAGACCCTGGGTTTCCTAAATAGAACATAAATTGTGAGGACCCTTGGCATGACAGCAACCAGAACAATGTTCTCTGTCTGGGAGATGAGCCTCCAGCACTGAGATTCACACTTGAAAAGGGCCAAGTCAGATGATGAGGACATCTTTTTCTCATTAACCCCGGCCACCAGCCCATGTCCTCACCCTCCAGGAAGTCCCTGCGGACTCTGGTCTATGAGGCAGCTCAATAGGAGACACCTCAGGAAAAGGTGTTCAGGGACAACCAAGCTCTTGAGTCTGCACAATTTCCTCTAACTCTGAGACAATACCCTGTGGGTTCAGAAACAACTGGGACCTTAGCAGTGCTGGGGAGTCGCTTGAGATTGCTCTTCCTGCCCCTTAGGGTCCATCACCTGTCCCAGATGATAAATCCCTTCCTCCTTGCTTGTACAACTACACTTAATGTGCATCTCTAGGGAGCATGACCACTCTAGAAGCTTTTTCCTAATCATCTTCCCTTCCCAGGACAGCCTTCTTGAACATTTTTGCTGTTGTTCAATTGCGTTTATTTTGTTTTGTTTTTAATCTGGTTGAACACGAAGAATTGGAACTTTGTTAGACTTAGCTGCTTTGGCATCCTAGTGTAGCATCCATTGCTTTTGCCTCAAGCCCTACAGAAAGAGGCACAGGGATCCCTTCTCACTGTCAATATAAAACTGACTGTCACAGCAGCCCCTCTCCAAGACAGCAGAGTGCATTTGTCAATCATCTCCAAGTCCCTGCCCCACAAGCTCCGCCCACCACTCAGCCAAAGCTTTGTTTCTGGGTGGGAATTATCCCTGATACTCTCAGTCAGGAGATGTATGTTTCTCTGAATTGCAATTCTAAGAAAAACCAATTATGAGAATGGGAAGACCAGAATATGATTATAATCTTCCTGTAAGAAATAGACTTAGTGATCAGGATATTATGAGTTCCATGGAAACCGCTAATTCAACAATAAAGGAGGAGGAGGACGTGTGTGCCCCGCAAGGAGTTCATGGCAAAGCCTAAAAGCTGTGGAACCCAGAGGCAGCACTGACGAGTGCAGTGAGCCACCAGGCAGGCTCCTGGACCTGCCACAATGTCAAAGAAGGGATCGCTGTTTGGTCTGCTCCTGGCACTCACCATTAATGCTAACAAGATAAATATTAATATGTTTATACACAGACTACACTTTCCATAAAGTCTATGGAGGCTGTTCCAAGCACAAAGAAGTTTTGGAAGAAAAAATAAATCCTTAAGTTGGCAGTATTGACAAAAGATTCTGCCCAAGGATGCCCACCATGCCAGTAGATGCTTGTGTTACATCATTTGAAAAACACCCAATACCATTCCCTAGTGTTCTCTAGGATGCACTGTAGGCCACTTTTCTTTCTTTCTCTTTTTAGATTTTTTTCTCAAAAGAAATAGAAAGAGAATATATCACCCCTGTGAAATCCTTGTCCATGAAATCAGAAAGTGACAAAGAATTCAAATTGACAGAATGACAGTGATTTCAATAGCAATATCCAATGTGGAGCCAGCAGACACAATGCCATAGCAGGCAGGGAGCAGCCAAAGAACATGATACCTGAAGCAAAGGTGTTTCTGTGTGCAAACACACAGCTCTTGCTTCACAAGGAATAATAGTTGACTCTTGGGAGTTCCCTATTGTCCTGATGTGTATGTGCACACATACACACACAAATAAATAAATAAATGAGTGAGTGAGTGAATGAATGACAAATAGATAGTAGATAGATAGATAGATAGATAGACAGACAGACAGACAGACAGATAGATCACACAGCCCAGAAACACAGATTCAGCTTACCCGCAAATACCGTGTTCCAGTGTGATATCAGTTTCATTAAGTTTTATAGGAGAACACAGAAAGTCATAGATCAAGACATGTCTCAAATACATCAATAGAAACATCAGGTAGGGTGAATGCCTCTGCTCTTGATCTCTGGTGTAATCTAGTGACATTCCTGACAATTGGGTTGGTAGAAGCCAGGGCTCTGTTTGTACATTCCAAAGAGAGTGCACCTGACAGCCAAAGTATAGTTGTTAGCCAAACTCAGCAGTGAGCAAAAAGTGTCTATCTGGGGTGCTAAAGAAAGCCCAAGATAATTTGACTCTGTACCTGCCATAACTCCAGCTTGGGCCTGTTGACAGAGGTTTCTATCCCGCCCAGTCATGCAGCTCTTTAGTCCCAAAGAAATACATAGAGGTCTACATTAATTATAAACTGGTTGGCCTAATAGCTCAGGCTTCTTACTAACAGTTACATCTTAAATTAATCCATAATTCCTGTCTGTGTTAGCCATGTGGCTTGGTACCTTTTACCAGTGAGGCATTCTCATCTTGCTTCCTCTGCATCTGGGTGATGACTGCATAGTAAGCCTTTCCTCTTCCCAGAATTCTCCTGTTCTGGTTGCCCCACCTATTCTTCCTGCCTGGCTATTGGCCAATCAGCATTTATTAAAGCAATACAAGTGACAAATCTTTACAGGGTACAAGACCATGTCCCACAGCATGGGCCTGTTCTTTAGCTACTTTCAGTAGTAACTTTTTAGGTACTTTTAGTTACCGCAGCTGTGATAAAACTCCATGATCAAGGCAACTTATAAACGAATGCATCTAATTGAGGCTCACAGTTCCAGAGGGTTAGAGCGAGTCCATGACCTTCACGGTCCAGTCCATAACAACAGGAAGGCAGGCATGGTACTGGGACAGTAGCTGAGAACTTAGATTCTGATCTGCAGTTGGCAGATGGAGAGAGCGCTACCTGAGAAGGGTGTGGCCTTTGGGAACCTCAAGGCCCAGCCCAGTGACACACGCCCTCTAACATAACTAATTCTTCTCCAACGGTTCAGTGGAACTGACTGGGGACCAAGCATTCAAATGTGCAAGCCTATGGGGCCATTCCCTTCCAGACTATCAGAGCCTGAAGAACCGCAGTGACTCCCTGCCTAGTGAGCTCACCCTTATCCACCTCTGCTCGTGGTCTGCTGCCGGGGCTCTCCAGGAAGCACAGTTGGGAGCACCAGGGTTTCTTATGGAATATTACCTGTTGAGGAGAGGGGGAAGGGCAGTGGCAGGGACAGAGGAGTGGGGCGGGGAGCTGGCAAACAGCAACGAAAAATCACCAGAAGAAAGGCAAGCCTCTGCTCGGGGGACCCAGAGCAAAGGTTGCCTTTTAGGACAGTTGGCTAAACCCAGATCCCACCACTGTGTGGGGATGTGAGCTGGGCAAGAAGCAAGCCCATTTTTGAAAAGGGGGAGGACCCTTTCAAAAGCTCTAGACCCATCAGAGTACAAATGTGAGCAAAAGCATGCACACAAAAAGTCAGTAAAGTTTCCCAAAGTTCTACCGAACTTGAACACGGTCCTTCTAAAAAAATGCAAGAGAGGTTCCTAGACTCAAGAGAAGAGCATAAACAAGTATCCAAGCCAGGCCTGGTGGTACAGACCTATCATCCTATGTAGAAAGTAGAGGTCAGTCTGGGACACATGAGATCCTATCATTAAAAACAAAACACAAGCTAAAGCCTGTAGATCCAGATCAGGGGGCAAAGCTTTCTTTGTCCAGCTTCTCCTCTGTGTACAGTTCAGAAGGTCACAGGTTCCACAGAATCGTGGGAACTTTGGGGAATGTGTCATAACAAAGGAGAGGCAAGCGTCAACACGGAGCAGTCAGTCAGTCTAAAGTATTGATTGAATCTATAGGTCGATCTCTTTCTAGAATGGAAAAGTACAGGACTGTTGGTCCCAGATTACTGACATTAATTAGTGTATAGCAAGCTAAACCATATATTTCCTACATCTCTTCCTGCAGTTATTTTCTATGTATAAAGGCTCAAGATTCAGACACTGTGGCAGCTTCCTAGACACTCCCCATTTCAGGCCAAGCAGTTAAATGGAAGCCCAGAATCTGCCCCACAACTGCCTGGTTGCAGGTGCAATTAGACAGGGCCCCTATTCAGAGCAAGGTGACAGGTTATAAAGCGGCAGACACAGGGTTTCACAGGCAACTCTGTATTCAATACTGTTCGCAGTCCTCGATGTTAATAAACAGTGGAAGGGAGAAAAGAAAATCAAAGAAAATCCCTTTCCCAAACTAACTTTGCTGTGACGGAAGACACTGGTTTGGTGTTAGGTCCCACTCATGACCGTGGGCCAGCAAAGGAAAGCCCAGCCTCAGCCAGCCCAAATTCCTCCAGAAGTCTACAAGACAGGGGAAACTGTAAACACATCTTGAATCTCCTGGTGATCTTAGCACTTGTCCCACATAAGCTCATCCCAAACGTACCGTGCATACATCATTTATTTCGCCAAGACCAAATCATCTATGTGCCAGAGACATGGATGTGAACGTGCCCAGGACCTGGTCCCTGCCTAGGAGCTCCTCGTCTCTCAAGACACACATCTGGAATTGAGCAGATGTGGTGAGAGGTAATCGCAGAAGAGATGCAAGGGCGGGAAGAAAGGGTACCCCATCTGCCTGGAGCAAACTCTAGGAAGGACTTCCTGCGGAGATGAATGCATTGAAAAGAGTAATAACTTCCAGGCACAGGGGTGAATGGCCACCTGAGAAAAAAAACACCTGCCAATCAGACGTAAAGAGTGAGATGCAGGGGTGGGGTGGGGTGGGGGGAAGATGGAAGTGTGTGCCTAATCCCAATAGGAGCTGGAGAAGGAGGATCAGGAGTTCAGGGTCAATCTCTACTACTTAGCAAGTTTGATTTTATCCAGGGCTGCATGAGACTTTGGCTCAAATATTTGAGTGAGTAAATATTTTTAATTAAATTCTTTCATTTGTGTTTTATTTATGGACCAAACCTACACCCTCATACATGCTAAACATCCTCTTTGCCAGAGTTTTAGCCCCAGCATTCTTTATGTATGTAAAGATTCTTCTTCTGTGT